AATTCAGCAAACTTCCTCACTGTACTTAACAGAAGAAGATGGCAAACTACATTAACACTTTGACAAACATCAGAAATTCTAAAATTTTATTCAATAAATAATAAATTTTAAGATTATCACAATGACTATTCAAATAAAATCATTGTTACACACAGCGAAACACAACCTTCTGCATTTATATAAATAACGAAAAAAGAAACACAACCACTAACGACTAAAGTGAGATTTTCGGCCCTGACAAAAGTTTTCTCAACTTCTTTTGGTTCACAAGCTGATATACATTTGACGAATATCTTTAATGTCAATCCACCTCAACAAAACAAATTGCATAAATAACAAACTTAAAAATTTGAAATATTATATAGTCTAGAAAGTACAAAAATAAATACGAAGAATACAGGAGCGGAATCGCAAAAAATACTCAGTTGTCAAGGATGAGCTGGTAGATTTCACTCAGATTGGCTATAGCGACAACATGACGTGACTTCAGAGACAGCTGAAAATATTACTCAAAAAAAAATTTCATGAGAAAATTACCAAGATATCATAAACATGAAAAAAGTAACCCTAAAAAAGTAAGGAAATGAAGTAGCTTACAGTTAAAACTTGAGATGACTGTTGCATCTTCAACTCTGACAGGACGTGAATTTGATTAGTGTACTTTATAGAATGATATATTAATTCTTGGCCTTCAACGCTTCGACGTGCAACAGTGTAAACGTTATTTTGTTGTAATTTTGAACATATATCATCTAGAAAAAAAGTCATTCATGAATTAGAAAGAATAGCCACGAAAAACTGTTATTACTGTCAGTTTCCATAAAAGTTTCCTAACTCCTCATCTGCCCTTAAATGACCGCGCGTCAACAAAAAAGAAAAAAGAAGTAAAGCCAACGTCACGTATTTGTAAGCCTCATTACCTGCGCTTAGCCTTTTATTATTGTTGATAGAAAATTGTAGCTCATTCTGTTCCGGAATTTCCTTCCATAATTGTAAGAATTCTCTTTTATCCATTTGTCCATTTTCAACAAAATATATGTGCAACGGTACAATAGTGGCAAAATAAAAAACTCCAACATCGTTTTTTATTGCAACCTAAATTTAAAAATTCTAGTCGGTTGATATATAATACTCTTCAACACAATTAAAACTGGTAGAAATGTAACCTGAAGGTTAGTCAAAGGATCCATCTTTTGGACAGGACCATCAGTTTTACAGGCCAAGGAAACTGGAACTGGCTGGTTTGGATAGAGAGGTGAGCTGATCTGTAACGGTTCTGCTGGTATCAGACCAAATCTGCAAGTGATGCAAGGCAATTCAACCACAGAGGCAAAAAAAAAAAAA